AAGGGGCCGTCAGGTGCTTGAGTTGCCAACAAGATCATTTGCCTGGCTTAAATAGAAGAAGCGGATTTAGGAGGTTTAAGTGTTCTAGTTCTCTTAATGGAGGACATGAGGGCTGAATGTTACCTGGCTAGGGCAGTGTTCAAATGATGAGACCGACTGATGTGGACAGTGTCTCATTGTCACCCCTGAGCCACTCAATTCTGAATCTAAGTAGCAGCAGTTTTGTGACAGTTGAGTTTCCCTTCTTTTCCCTTTAAATGTCCCTATTTTGAATTTAGGGTTAAAATAAGTGCCAGTATCCTACTTAGGTCATCCTGTGTTTCCATTTGTCATTCAAAACCATTGTTACCATGAATGTCCTTAACACATCACCAGCCTTAGGTTAAACATCACCAAATGTCTTCAGCCTTCTTGCCCTATTTTGATTATTTTCAGTAAAATTGTCAGCTTGGTTTTCAGCTTCAGTCTTAAGTAGATGCAGGCCTAGATTTCATTGAGCGAGGAGTAGAAACTAACAGTGGGGCTCATCCTCCTTTAAGGACTTTTACGTGCCAGGGAGAGGAACTGGAACGCCAGATGATGGGTGGGGATGAAAAGTTGGGGGACAGTGTATGTGATGGTGTGGCTTCAAAAAGCCTAGATGACGGAACTGAGAACCTGAATTAAGTCACTACTGGCACAACAAGTGGCGGAACCACCCATCTGTCCGACGCTGGTACACACAGGTGGGATGCCATTTATTGGAGTAGAGCGAAGCAGCCGCATCTTATAGTCACTGTGTTGCACCAGTTGGTCACTAGGAGGCGTCAGCTCACCAGTTAGCAAGACAGGAGAGCTGGCCGCAAAAGCCTACATCTGTGCCGAAAGTACCCTTCTACTCTCACTGTGGATCTGTTGGGCTGTGCTTTATACACCCTGGAATGTGTGACATAACATTTTCATAAATGGCGTTTCATCTTCCTGCATGGCATTTGACATAGCTATTCAATCACTAGAAATCCCATAAATCCCTGTAAACAAGTGTGGCTGTATTTCAGTTTCATTACTGTTTGTACCTACTAGACAAAAGGATACTGGTCCATGCAAATACCTCACATTAGCAAGTTACTTGGGAAAGGTATGTGGAATTTAATCTAGGTGACATCTGGAATAGAACAACTAGAGAGCTGACTTATGTGGAATTTATCCATTTAAAAATGGACCAAGTATTCATAGTGGGAGTTTTTATAAAGTCCTATTTTAAAAGATGGGTTACAGAAAATGTTACAAGAATTTTAAGAAATTTACTTTTAAGGTGAATGGTTTTCTAATTTCCAAGTTTCTACACATGAAACAATGATCCCTATCTTGTGGAAGATCTTATTCAAGTTAGGAAAATAAGCAATAGGTAACATGTAACATGATACATTAAAAAATGCACTAGGAAAAGACTTGTATCAGGATAGGCTACTTTGAAAAGGTGACATTTGGGCAAGTCTTAAATGTGATTGGGATAGCTGCTGTGTTGATGGCAGAACAATGGTAAATTAGATAAGGTAGGGTGTTAGAACAAACCAGAGGGGAGGAGAGAGGAGAGTGATCAGGTTAGGTAGGTAATGAAGGCAGCAGGATGCAGAGGTACTTTGAAGTACAACCAAGGACAGTTCCTGACTAGTGTGCAGATTTTGGCACTGGGAAGAAGATTACAGCAAGGTGGACAATCCTGGGCAGGAGTACTGTGGAGATACTGTGTGTTTGAAGTTCTCTTAAAGTATGTCTAATGTTCTTGTCTGATAAATGCATCCTTTTAGAAGAATCTGGATCTGTCAGGCTTCAATTTATGTCCAAAGGTAACTTGGGAGTAGAGCTTTTCCCAAGCCCATGTCCTACCTTCCATCTCCGTTTTACTTCTAGCTTTGAACTAAGAGCCTCTGCACATTTCTGTGGACACTGTAGCCTCCACATTCCAACTGTCCAGCTAGCCCCTTCACACACCACGTTACATGGTAGTGGTGCTGAGTTCCTCTGAACAGTGCAGAGCCCCCCCCCCCCGGGGGGGGGCGTCTGGGCCACCTGGAATGCAGGCTGGAGTAGGGGTCTCTTGCAGATGGATGTTACTGCAACTAACAGACACAATCCCAAAGATCAGGACAGTAGAGGAGGGGTTTTTGTATGAGTGAAGACAGTATGGAGCCAAAGTGTTTGGTCTGAGCAGCTACATATGATGAATTGCCATCAACTGAGAAGTGGGATGCAGACTGAACAGGTTAGAGTGAGATCAGTTTGGGAGGGCTTGTGTTTGGGCTGTGGCTTGCTACTGTAAAGACATGCATCCTACTGTAACCCTGGCCGGGAATGTATCAGCTGAAGCCACCATATATTATACTGCAGCCATTCTAATGCTTTGAAAACCTTTGAGTCTGGTACTCCAGCCTTCTACTGGACTCATTCCATCCAAGAATTTAATATGCATAAATCTGTAGATTTATCTAGAGTAAAAGGCTTTATGAACCTCTTAAATCCTTAGACTTCTCTATCCAGTGAATTAAGTGAATCTCCTTGTTCTCTTGTCTGGCACATTAACTGTTAGTTTAGTTCTTTGGCTAGAAGCAGATGGATATAAGGTGATGTAAATTTGGAAGTGGCACGTAATGAGATTGGATAAGATCAACAATTGGTGTAAAGAGAAGGACTGACACAGCGAAGAGCTCAAGGAGAATGAAAAAGTAATGACGGGAGTTAGGAGACCAAGTTAATATCCTTGATGTCAGGGAATGACCTTTATCCAAGAGCAAAACGTAAACTGACAGTTGTAACACTGTCCATAAAATGCAACTGTGTTAGCCATTTCAAATTTGTTTGCCAAACCAATGATTTTGTTAGCTAGTTTTCTAAACTTTATAATTTGGAAGTGACGTGTTTTTATTATATATACAGCGTGTAACACGTTTTGTTTTTTGGTGGGTTTGTTTTAAAAATAGATAAATATGGGCATTTCATTGAGTTGATGGTAACTTGAAAGAAACTAAAGGGCAAAAATTGTAACAATGTACAAGATTCTTAATACTAAGATTTCTAATTGATGCATTGTGGGCAGTAGGAATACACAGACTTTTGAGCTGATTCAGAATTGCTAGATCATTTGAAATACTCAATAGAAAATTCTTAGATTTAAAGTTTCTTGTTAGTAAGTGGGTGTTTTTGAAAACTGTGTTACTATTCAAACATTTCCAGATAATTTAGAAAGCATTTGCTACATTATGGCAAACTGCAAAAGGCTAAGTAATACCACACTTGAATTCTAAGAAAATAGCTTAGTCTTCCGGTGTGCATCTTTTAAAAAACCAGGTCAGGTTTATGTCTTTCCACGTGAAATGACTTTTGTCAACTCACGGGCCCTGAGACTGAATTACAGACTTAAAGGAAGTATCTTTTCCAGATGAGCTAAGAATGTCATTGTTAAAGATGAACAGCTGGCAATGTAGAAATTCTCTGGAATGCTCAGTTGTTCTAAAGACAGAAACAAAATGAGATGTTCCAGTGTTTGTCACTGGCTATAGAATTGCAGATCTTTTTTTCATAATCTTAATAGAAATCCTTACATACTTGTAATTTGCCTTTCTCTTTAGAGAGAGGACTTTTAACTAGGTGAAAGGCCTGGGATCTGACTAGGTGCAATTTCTCCATACTTTGGATTGTGCTGAAATTGTCCCATTTGATCAGACATTTTTTCTTAAGATTAAGCCTCAGGCAGGGTGCTAAGTTTCAACTCAGACAGTGTAGCATTTTAGTGAGACCTTGTCTCAAAAAATAAAACCACTTCTGATTTCCTTGAAGTTAGGTTTGAGAATTAGAATTTATACTTATTTTGGTTTTTTTTGAAACCAGGTGTTGCTATGTAGTTTTAAATTTGAACTTGCGATGTATGCTTCAGCATCCTAAGTGTGTGTCACCATGTCCAGCTAAAAATTTAGCATGATGCACACAGGATTTTTTTTTTTAAAGGGATTTAACTCATCTCTTTTTCCACTTAAATTTCCCCCCATTTAAGGCAGGTGCAGAGGAGCTAAACTGTCCTTTTCTCCCCTTTGGGCCCAGCAGCCTTTTCTCCCACCTTGGCCAGCTGCAGTCTTCCGTGTCTTCAGGGTTAGTACATATTTGGGGCTCCTTGTTTATTTAATGAGTGACTTTCCCTAACAGGATGCTAGGCCTTGGTTTACATCACTTTTCTGCCCTATTTAAGTGGGGGTGGTTGTGGTAGGGCAGTCGGCCTCTCCACCTTCTCCATGTCACAGTATTTCCAAGACATTTCCATTAGGTCTTTGTAGAAAAGGACGCTGAAGGCTGGCCAGGTATTCTTAAAATGTTAGATCTCAACACCAGATGGCCTCCCCCTCCCCGTTTGTAGTCACTGAGTTCTAAAAGATTGCAGGCTATGTAGTCCGACCATCTGAAGGAAGCATGGTCTAGGTGGAAGGGCATCGTGCCTGAGCTCCCCATGGAGGAAAAGGGTGACATATCTTCCCAAACTGGACAATTGGTAGTCCTGCTCTGGTTTAACATATCTCCAACATAACTCTGGTCAAGAACAAAAGTGAGATGTTCTCTTGGCGTGCAGCCTTTCTAAACTGAGACGTCTATACAGGGTCTGGGGTAACCCTCGCACTGAACTTGGCGCTTCCTGACACTCTGGCTCCCTGTTCTTCCAGACCACAGCGCTGCTCCTAGGATCTCATCCCCGCGCAGATAGGGGGTTAGAAGACATCTGTGTCCACGTGCTGCTTGTAGACTTTACCTGCCCTGGAGAGGCTGTGCAGAGGGCAGTGGGGCGGGACAACAGGGATGACCTTTTACCGCCCTCTGGGCCTCGGCATTCTAGGCAGCTGCGGCCGCCAGAGTGGAGAGGAGTTTCCGGGGCTCGCTTCCTGCCCTCAAGCGGACCAAACGGGCGCGGAAGTGAGGGGGCGGGGTGGGGCGGGGCGAAGCAGCTGGGGGCGCGGCCTGGGAAGGCCCCCAAGTTAATGAGGCGCGCGCCGGCCGCTGAGCGCCTGGCGGAGCTGGGCTTTTCCCAGCGGTGCGGACGCCAGGGGCCGCCTTTTCCGCTGGGTGTCACTCGGGGGTGGGGAGGATGGCCCATTCAAAAGCGCTGCGAGGGAGCCTGGCCAGTGCCCTTCAGTGAGCGCTCGCAGGAGATCGGCACAGGCCCAACAGCCGCTCGAGCCGCCGGGACCTGGTGGCGCGTCAGGACGCGGCTGCAGCTGTGCCGGGACCCCGAGCCGCCTCTCTGCTTCCTGCGCATTAGCCTCTTCTGCGCGCTCCGGGCCGGCGGCCGAGGGAGCCGCTGGGGTGAGGACGGCGCGCGGCTGCTGCTGTTGCCCCCGGCCCGGGCGACTGGAAGCGGAGAGGCCGAGCCGATCGGGGACGCCCCTTATGCCAGGAGGATGCTGGAGAGCAGCGGCTGCAAGGCGCTAAAGGAGGGGGTGCTGGAGAAGCGCAGCGACGGGCTCCTGCAGCTCTGGAAGAAAAAGTGCTGCATTCTCACTGAAGAGGGGCTGCTGCTCATCCCGCCTAAGCAGCTGCAGCAGCAGCAGCCACAGCCCGGGCAGGGGACCACTGAGCCGTCCCAACCCAGCTGCCCAGCTGTCGCTGGCCTTGAGCCACCGGCCAAGCTCAAGGAATTGCACTTTTCCAACATGAAAACCGTGGACTGCGTGGAACGCAAGGGCAAGTATATGTACTTCACTGTGGTCATGGCAGAGGGCAAGGAGATCGACTTTCGGTGTCCGCAGGACCAGGGCTGGAACGCAGAGATCACGCTGCAGATGGTACAATACAAGAACCGTCAGGCCATCCTGGCGGTCAAGTCCACGCGGCAGAAGCAGCAGCACCTGGTCCAGCAGCAGCCTCCGCAGCCGCAGCCGCAGGTCCAGCCCCTGCCCCAGCCCCAGCCCAAGCCTCAGCCTCAGCCTCAGCAGCTGCACCCCTACTCGCATCCTCATTCACACCCGCACCTACACCCACACCCTCCGCCACCGCACTCGCAGCCGCTCGTCCAGCCACACGGCCACCGGCTTCTGCGCAGCACCTCCAACTCTGCCTGAAGGGGGCCGCGCTCGGCCGGACGAGGTAAGGGTGAGGGAGGCGAGGGGCAGGGGGAGTAGGCGGTTGGCCCAGCCGGCAGCTCTGGGGTGGACAGTGAGGAGACAGAGTTTCTGGGGAGGCGGAGAGAAGACGAGCTGGAGCCCGGAGAGCAGAGCCTGGCGCCGTGACCGCGCCGTCCCGGCGACCTGCTCTCGTTCCGCTCTGTCACCACCTGATCCGAAGAGAACTGGGTCTCGGAGGAGTCTGAGCCATCTACTTCATTCAGTGTCCTTTCTTTCCAGGTTTTGAGGACTTGAGGAAGCGGGACGGACACAGTTCTATTGTCCTCACTGGGATCAAAAGCAGAACAGTTCCCCGCCCCGCACCAGATCAAGTAGCTTGGACATCACCCGACTGATAGATAACGTGATTCCTTAGTTTTCTGCAGATTCATCATTTCCGTACAGGAAGCGATCCTAAGTCGAGAAGACTTTACTTACGAAACTTGGAAAGGATCTGATAATGTAGTAGACCTCCCAGGAGCGACGATGTACTGTAATTTTATGTTAATGTATTTTGGTTTATGATTATTTATTAGTTTTTTAATGCTTGTTCTAAGACATTTCTGAATGTAGGCTAGGCCATTTTTTCAAAAAAGAACTTTATTTTTAAAAACCTACTCTGTAGTAAGTTCTAATCTTGGGAAAGAAAAAAGGGTGATGGAGGGGAAAACATTAAAAACTCATTCAGTACTCCTAAGGCATTTTCAGAAGGTCTGACGCTTTCATTGTTATGCCAGGTGGTTGAAATTAAACTCCCATACTGTTTTTTTCTCTGAAGTTTCTTCCTTAAATACATACTTTGTATAAGAGCTTTTTAAAACTAAAAGCTCAAAATTGTGTAATTATGACTATCATGCTCAAGATAATGTTTTTTTAAAAGACAATTAGTAGTAATGACACCTACTTTCACAAAAATGTAAAACATACCGGGACAGAGTAGGATGAGGAAGTCTTGATTATGTAGTAGGACTGGCTCTACTTAGAGCTTTTATCATCTGTGTGAAGGTTTAATAAGAGTCCTTTTCGAGCTGTGTGTGTAGCCTAGTGCCAGGCTCTGAGTTTAGCCCCTGACACCAGGGGGGAAAAGGAAATGAAAAGGGGGAGAAGCCGTTTTGATTGTGACTTGATGTTTCACATGAAAACTGTAGTGGGGGAGAGAGAAGGAGGCAGCCAACTTGAGAGTGTGTGTGCCCCTTTCCAGACTAGAATGTCCTCCACCAAGAGATTTGCACAGCTGACTTGAACCATATTTTCTGATCTGTGTACTTTGTTCGAGAAGACCACTGAATAATCTTACGGTTTAAAGTACAGTTTGTAGATATAGCAACAGACCAGGAGTCATAAATTTTAAATTCACAGAAAATGTTTTTCTTCAAAATGGCCTGTTTTTCTCTGTTCTGTGAAAAATTTTAGGGCTATATATATCCTTAGGTTAGCTAGACTCAGACACTGAAAGAGGAAGACTGGTAAACAATGGATTTTCAGTAAGCAAACAACTGAAGTCTTGTTTTAGCTGTCACTTGTTCAGGAGCCTACCGGTAGCGGGGAGAGGATGCTTTTAAAGGTAGAACAAACCCGCTTCTGTGTTCTGTCAAAAGGATGTACAAATCCTCAAGGCAGAGGCTACTTAAGTTTAAAAGAGCCTTAGTTGATAGCAGATTCTCTTGGGGCTGAAAATCATTTCCTATCTACATGGCTTCACTAATGATTCTTTGTTTTATGTTGTCTTTCACAGAGTCTTGGTCAGTATTTTTCCAGCATTAAAATTGGAAGGGTCAAGCCAGGTGTGGTACATGCCAGTAAGCCCAGCTGTCTAGGAGGCTGACAGCAAATTTAAATTTAACCTGGGCAACTTAGCGAGATCCTGTCTGAAAATGAATTAAAAAAGGACTGGAGATGTGTAGTCAGTGCGAAGGCCCTGGGCTCAGTCCCCAGCACAGGATGTGGGATGGGGTGGGGAAGACTGGGCAGGGATAGACTACTGCTGAGATGCACCATTAATCTGGAAAATACCTTCAATGCAATTTAAATGATGACATTTGAGGTCATAATTCTCACACAAAAAATTGCAGGAAAAATTAAAATGCAAATGACAAAACTGGAGTCCCACTTTGAGGGTGTTGCTTAGGCCATGGGTGTGAAAACATGCTGCTTGAGCTTAAAAATATAGTATCTTTATATGACCGCCCAGAGAGCCAAACCAAAGGATTTCTTAAGTCCAGTTTGATTTGACTTCCTGAGAGCTACTGCTGTATTTTTTTTTTAAAGGAATCCCTCCTAGTGTTAGAGTTTTAATGCATGCAGCTCATAATGACCCAAATTAATCCACAACTCTTTCTAATTAGCAAATCTTTCTTCTGAACTCTTGTTTAAAAAAAAAAAAATCCAGACCAAATACTTTGAAAATTAAGGTTGATGTAGGTTTGTGAAGATGTATTTGCACATTATCTTATGTACAGCACAAGATAATCTCATTGTTGAAAAAATATGTCCATTTCTCAACCACTTGAAGGTTTCTTTTTTTTAACCACAATAGTCATGGTTCTTACTGGGCTGCCAGAGTAGCGGGTTTGTGTTCCTCCGTGTGCTTAACACTTACATTGATTGACCCTCTTTATGGTTGTCTGGTTTGATCCTCTCTTAACTTTTATCTGTGTAATTTTAGGAATTAGTAAAAGTAGGATAGCTGTTCTTGTTGTTTCAATAACCCTAAAAGTATTATCACTGGATCATTTTTTCCAGAGCAGAAAACCAAGCATGCTAAACAAAACAAAATACAAAGGCACATCATTTAATATCTCATAGCTCTTTTCCTACCCCTCTGAAAATGATACTGGTATCTAAGGTACTATGAGGCCCAACAAGTCCGCTCTGCAGACGAAGATAAAAATGCTTTCAACCTAAGAAAAGTGCAAGTGTAGTAGACAACCCACCCCTTGGACAAACATCAAATGTAAAAGTTGAAAAAGTAGAAATGTCCCATCTGGAAACTGAGCTTTTGTTCTTGAACTTGTATTGGCACCCCACTCCCTCCACATCTGGCTCAGTGACTGTTGGGAGAAGTGTGTCAAAGAAGGAAAAAAATATGTGCTTTTCAGCAGCCAGGAGGCTGCTTCTCTGGCCTCACCGAGCACTTCCTATCATTGTTCTCAAGTTCCTGAGAACAGTGAGTCCCAGGCCAGGCCCCGCATCTGTGGACTTTCAGTGCAGAAACCCACCGAGACCTGCCTGCGCCCTGCCGGGTGAGTCGGGTCGCAGCAGATGCCTCGAAGGAGCCCTTCAAGGCAAATGCTTGCCTCTGCCAGCAAGCCAGGATTTTCTATTCATGTATGAATCAAGGTGAATTTGTTATTTCACTTCATATACGTTTTTCCAATGATAGTTTATAAAAAGGAGGAAAAAAAATCACCCAATATGTTGCTTAAAGGAATTGCCTGTACACCTAAACACTGCAGGAAATCTGCTTTCAATGAAGCCCTGTTTTAACTCATTCTTGCTCTCATGTGCCAGGCACTCTGTACTTCTCTTCAAAAATCCTAATGAAAATCTGATAGAGAACAAATTTAACAGTATATATAACAGTACTTTTCCAAGTACATCCCTTGTTTTCTGTCCCTGGAGTAGTGATATGATTTAGTTAGGGTTAACATGTCCAGTGGTGGCATAGAGGAAGGGCCACACAGTGAGTCCCCTAAAGGTTCTGTAGGGTAGGACAGGCCTGTGAACGTTTTGCCTGTTTGGTGTTTTTTCCCTACATGTGAAACTTACTGGCTTAACTTTGCCAAAACAAACCCTCAGCAGATATGTTTTAAGTTGGAACATTATAGTTATTAAATTCATCAGTAAGTCTTTCAAGAGAAATAACACCTATTTATTCAAGATCTCTTAATTGTACAAATGTGTTATATAAGTTTATAGGAACTATTTTCTAAATTCTTGCCATGGTTTTTAACAGTGATGTTTTGATCAGTGTTGAGTAGCCATCCAGATTTGTGAAACACTGAGTCACAAGGTGATCTGTCAAATGGTCTAGGAGCTGTCTCAGAAAGGTCACTTTTGTGTGTGTGTGTGTGTGTGTGTGTGTGTGTGTGTGTGTGTGTGTGTGAGGGGGGACAGCTTGGCAGCACAGCACTTGGCTAGCATGTGTCAGGTGGTGGGTTTGATGGCCAGAACAAGAAAAAGGGCATTCTTGCCCCATGAGAAAATATGTCCTGGACATGTGAAACATCTGCTTAGAAGCCACCCGGGCCTACTGTCCAGCACTCTGAAACTGGTGATTCACTGGACAAGGGAAGCAAGTTTTTTAAAGAAAGAAAAAATGATTCTGTTGTGTCCCATGGTCAGCCTTCCACTTCAAGTTCTGGAATGGGTGCACCCAGCTCTGGGAGTGTGCAGGCCCCTGTGGCCCCCATGCTTTGCCGGACACTGCGTCTGTACACTTGGTAGTGTGGCGAGACTTTGTGTAAATATCTCTTAAGCAATTTTGCAAAGATGTGATTTATTTTTCATATTTTCAAAATGCATTCCATTTCAAATAAAGTATCTATTGAGACAACTGACCTTTGGACCCTTTGAAGGCTTCGTTCATGGGACATAAAAAGCTGTACTCCTTGGGGATCCAGGTTCTCCTGGGCTTGTCTGTTTCAAGGACTGTGGCCAGTCTGGGAAGAAGAAGACTGTTCCTTGTGTTAGAAATTAATTGGAAAGTTGAAGGTAGAAATTCACTCATCTTTTGGTGAAATAGCTTTCAGAACATGAATGAACTTGAGTTGAATTTTCCATGGCACCCACGGAGAAGCATGTCTGGTGGCCATTTGCTCTTGAGTTTTATATCTCAGGAGCAGAACGCTTTGACACAAAGAGATCAGTCTTCAAACAGGGATCTATAAAGCTCTGCTTTATGCTGAAAGCAAAAGATGGGCTTGGTTCTCTGAAAAAGACCAGAATCACTTCATTCTTATGAACTATTGGCATCTAAATGACGACTTTAAAATAACTTCAAAGGCATTAAAAAAAATATTTTAGCATAGTGTTACATTGGCAACTGAGTTCTTGTTTTACTCTCTCTTTTTTAAAAAAGGTACAGCAATTAGAAGTTAAGGTGACCTCAGGGTCACTGTGTGAAATAAGTGCATATGGGAGGCAGTCAACCCTGCTGAGAGGCAGGATTTAAGAGTCCTTGCACATGGATTGGAGTCCTAGTTCCACCACTAATTGCTATGTAAACCTTTTTTTTTTTTTTTAATGTATTTGGTACAGAGTCTCACTACACAGCTTGGACTCGTGGTGATCCTCCTGTTTTTAGCCTCCCTAGTGCTGGGATTATAGGTGTTCCCCACTATTCCTGGACTCTGTGGCTGGCTCAACACACCCGGGGCGGAGCCAGTGCCGGCCGGCATGGTATAAATCTTGAATTATAGGACTTCTTGGGAATTTAATTTCTGTATGTATGAAATAGAGTTTATAAAAGTATTTACCTCAGAGTTATTGAGGCAATTATAAGTTAATACAATTAAGAGTGCTTAGAACAGTGCCTGCCAGGCATTACTACAAAAGGCAGCTCCTTGGACTCTGTGGCAGTCTTGGGAATCACTAGAGTAATATGAATATATAATACTTTGTGTTTTGAAGCTATGAATAGAGTTTTCTAAAATTTCAGTGCTTGTTTTTAAATGACTGGGATAAGATGATTAGCATGATGATGTCCTTGTATATAATTTTTTTTTAAAAGAGGCAAAATAGCACTGCCATTTTAATGACTTATTTCAGTTTGTTACTTTCCACTCTTGGTCCATGTATTCATATATTTTAAATTATTTACATTTAGACAAGCAAAATATCCACATGTAGCTGCGAGTGGGGCTTCACTCGGATCTCCACTCAGAAGTGTTGGAGTATGAATGACTCACCTCTCAGTGAATGCTTTCCCCTGGAATTACTCTCATGGAGCACCATCTTGCTCTAGAACATTCCCTCCTGAAAGGTGACACCCACGTAGTGATGGACTATGAGAACTAGATAAAGACCAGGACCTGCTGTCTACAGTCAGCACAACTACAGAAGGTCCCCCCACCTCTCAGCTTCAGAGTTCTCCACAGAACTGGCTCAGACCCCCTCTCCACAACAAGCTGGCATCTCTGGCTTTGTCACAGATGATATTCTCAAGAATTCCTTTAGAAAAAGTTTCCCTTGGCCCATTCCTCCCTAACCTCTTGCAATCAAATCTCAGACTCTTGAGGTGTGTTTCTCAGGAAATCCTGTTTCTGACCGCATCTGTCTCTCTCCTCCCGTCAGGTGGCTGCCTAGAGGCTGCTGGTGTTGGGAGTGGAACAGATAGCATACTGTAATGGTTAAACTCAGGCTTGGTTGTGGTGCCTGGAGCAATTTTGTTCCCCCAGAGACATTCAGAATTATTTGGAGACATTTTTGGTTTTCACAGCTGTTGGGTAGAAAGGATGCCGCTAAGTACCCTACAGTGCCCGGGAGAGCCCCCCACAGCAAAGAATTATCTGCCCTCCAATGATAATCATGTCAAGGTTGAGAAACTCTGCTTTAGAGTCAGATAGTTTTGTTCTTATTAGCTGTGTTCCCTTGGGCAAGTGATTTACTTTATTTTAGTCTCTGTTTATGTGTGTAAAATGCAGACAATGATAGTACCTGTCTCATGGGATTGTGAAACCAGAATTAGGCAGTTCACATGAAGGGCTGTCACATTTCTGTCACGAAGTAAGCATTCAGTAAACAGTAGCTATGATCCTCACTATTATAGTTCAAGGACTTAATTTTAATGACCATGCCATGTCCTACTGAGTTGATGTAGTGGTTCAGTAATTGGCCTCTGCCCCCATCGAACGGGTTCCTGTCCTTAGTACTGCAGCAGTGAATGTCTTCAGCAGTCTTGCTGGAAAGTGCAGACTAGCACCCTGGGCCTAACCCTAGTCTGTGGCATTAGGCAGTTCCTTAATCTCTCGGCACCTCCCTCATCTGTGTCTGTGTAGGTGGGAAAGTTAGACCTGCCCAGGAGGTGTTGTTATGAGGATTCTAGAAAGTAGCAGTGGAGTCTACATGTGGTCAAGTCCTGGAGCCACCCTTGATGACTTACCTTACGTAAGCATTATCAGAGTGAAAGCACTATTATTATCTGGAGATCATTTTTAAAAACTCAAGTGTTCCATATTTCTATCCACGTATGTATTCTCCACTCACCCCTCATTCCATGGCGGGGACTGGACCCAGGGCCTTGCACATGCCAAGCAGGAGCTCTAGCCCCGAGCTACGTTCCAGCCCTTATATGTGCATTCTCATCCAAATAATTTGATTTTTAGGAAAGAGGATGTTATTGTGACTAAAAAGGAACACCAAATAATTCCCATTTCTTATAGAATTTCAGCCAAACATACACTGATGTTGAAGTGGAAGGAGTTGTATGAACGCAACATCGCAGCCATCCAGAATTACTGATGCAAGTGTTGAGCGATGCGCCCATTGGCTGTATCAATCTATTCAGCTAAATATCCTTGTCTGCTTTGTTGCTTTCGCATAGACCCTGGTGTATACCTCTACTGGTCACATAGAAAGGTCAGTGTCAAGAAAGTCTCATGGCATAAGAGTCCTGTAGTCTGGCCTTGCTACCTCCAAAGTGAGCCTGGCAGTAGGCATGGTGGCACATGTGTAACCCCAGTGCTCTGGGGGCTGAGGCAGGAGGCTGGACAGCTGGTATTGGGGACGGATATTATTGGAAATAGATTTCATTGGCTGGAGGGTTTCCAGGCCTGATTGGGTCTGGATTGTTAGGATCTGAGGACAAAATTGTCCATTTTGTGAACCCTTGATACAGTATCAAGATTGAACTGCTTCCGAGGTAGAGCAGGTCTGAGAATGCTTTTCTCCCTGCCAGGTATTTACCTGTAGCATTTCACATTTACTTAGTCTCTGAAAACACAATCTGTGTGGCTGTGCCGCACACCCTCAATCCCTGCCAAAGCCGTTTCCCAGAGTGAGCAAACAGCCTGACGCCCTGTAGACACCCCGTGCTTCAGAGCCACTGATGAGTGAGTGTTCACCTACTGTACAGAGAGAAAGAGGAAATGACTCTCCGGAGTGTCAAAGCCTTGATGATGTCACTGTCCTCTATTGATTTTCTCCGAAGCTTGTAGTTCAGGCGGTTCCTCCCTACTCAGGCTGGTGGCTCACTTACTTTGCAAGTGTTTTGAACTTTGCTGTAGCCAATTCTAAGCAGTGCTGTGGCTCGCCTTGTGGGCTGACTCACTGCCCCAAAGGAGGAGCCCAGTGCTGTGACTCAGCATAGTCAAAGAGCCTGACTTGGGACAGTCTGAGGAATACTCTCCTTTTATCTTTTTTTTTTAAACAGGTAAAGAAATGTTCATTTCTACCAAAATTGGTTGTAGTTGCTTTTAATAGTCCTTCCAAGTAGCCCTATACATACCTTTTGCATGTGTATTGCCCTCCAACACACACACACACACACACACACACGCACAACTTTTTGCCACTGTAGTAATTTTCATGGTCCATGAATGCTGAGTGGTTAGTTTTTCTGTATGTGGAACCTATCATCTAAGGACTTGGCACAGACTGAGCAGAGCTGTCCCAGCCCGAGCAATGATGGGTCTTTGGGGATGCCAGGTGCCCCTTGAACTTCCTGTTGCAGGGTTTCAGCATCATTACTAGAGGGGATGACTCCAGCTTAGTGGGAGACCATTCAGTGATTTCCTCTCATTTTCTGACAGCAAAGGAGACATGTAAGATGGCTATTAGACTATGCATTGAATCTGCAGCCATGAAAATGAATTGGACACTGGCCACAACACAGGGCTTTGTATGCAGCAATTGTGATTCTTGCCAGAGGTGTCATGAAGCTCCTGATGCCTATAAAAAGTGCCAGGGAACCACTGAGAACCACAGTTTGCCACTCTCTTGGCAGCTGGCCAACCCGAGTTTATATGTGTTCTCTGTAAGATTATAGACAATAAGAACTTTCCTTTAGCTGCATAAATATTGAGCTTGAAGTCAGAGCTGATAATGGCCTTTCAGGAATGCCAACACATCTTCCATACCTACCTATTTTAGAGAAGAAGAAAATGAAGACATGTGATACCAGTTAACCTAACCAACACTGCACTGGCATTTAAAGTCAATGGTGGGATAGGAGCCAGAATCCAGCTGTCGTGATTCTTAATGAATACTCCTTTCACTGTGTCACTATTACACTGGAAGGCTTGGAGGACATTTTATAAAATTCAAGGTGATTATTTTTGCAGATAATTGCTTACAGCTTTTAGACACATCCATATAATCTTTTTAGCATCAAAATTAAAAAAAAAAAAAAAAGAGGGGCCAGGGAAATAGCTAGGCAGCCTAAGCGATCCAGGCTCAATCCCCGGCACCACATGCCGTGCTGGCCCAGTGCTGAGCCAACCACCGAAACCCGGCGTGGCGGTGCATGCCTGTAATCCCAGCACCTGGGAGGCTGATACAGGAGGATCACCATGAGTCTGAGCTGTGTAGTGAGACCCCATACCAAATACATAAATAAATAA